CTGAGATGATAGCTGCAGCTCATGCCCATCTCTGGAGCTTGCTTAGGCTGTGCTCTGCCGTCTGTGGGCACACAGAGCAGGAAGCGCCTCTCCTCGCGCATCCCGAAACAACGGTTTCTGGCCTCTTAGGCAGGTCCAGACATTTTCCTGGACTCCCTCCCGGCTAGCTGTGGTGCACTAACCACTTCACACTGTGTTCATGCCACCAACCCCAGTCCTCTCCCTGGAATCTGACCCCCGATCCTCAGCTCCCAGTCCCCAGCCCCCCAGCGGGTGAGCAAAGCGTCTCAGGCTGGTGAGTGCTGGTCAGCACCGAGCCTCTTTGCAGGAATCTCTCCGCTTTGCCCTCTGCACCCGTTGCTGCACTCTCCTCTGTGGCTCTGAAACTTCCCACACACACACCCCACCCCCGTCTCCGCCAGTGAAGTGGCTTCCTAGTGTGTGGAAACTTTTCCTCCTTCACAGCTCCCTCCCAGATGTGCAGGTTCCACTGCTATTCTTTTGTCTCTGTTTTTTCTGTTTTCTTTGCCCTCTCCAGGTACATGGGGATTTTCTTTCCTTTTGGGAAGTCTGAGGTCTTCTGCCAGTGTTCAGTAGGTGTTCTGTAGGAGTTGTTCCACATGTAGAAGTACTTTTGATGTATTTGTGAGGAGGAAGGTGATCTCCACGTGTTACTCCTCTGCAATCTTGAAGGTCTCTCTCAGATTTTTTCTTAACGGAAAACACGTTTGTTCTTTCACTCTTAGTCTCATAAAATACTATACATTTTTTGGATAGTATTCACCACAGAAAAATATGTTATTGTGAGATTTTATTTTGCATCTCTCTCCTCAGTACTTTGTAAGCTCCATGGTAACAAGAATCAAATTTCCTAATGAATACCTAGTACTAAATTTGAAATACATAAGCATCTTGCTAAAATAGGAATTCAAAAATAATTCTATTGAATAATACTGATTTTGTATGAAAATGTTTATAGGGGCATTACTTACAAAAGCAAAGGACAATAAAAAATGTAAGTATAAAAACTGGGGAAAGATGGAGTAAATTAAAGTTTACACCTAGGATTGAATTCCAGTCATTCACTACACATAGTGTTTCAGAAGAAATATTTAACAGCATTAGTATTCTCAAGCATGAGAAAACATTATACTGTTTTGGTTATCATTTTCCTCTGGGCACACAACCCTCCCTATTGACAAAACTAAAATGAAATAGAATATTCTTATCATGAGCTGTCCAGACACTGAAATAAATACCCAGTGTAATTTTTTGCTCTTCAAGGAAACCTGAAGTCACATGGCTAAGTACCTGAATAGTCCAGAAATGGAGTACAGACATATATAGACCATCCAGTTTTACAGGGGGTTATCATAAAAGAGGACAGAATGGAATAAAAAGCACTTAGTTTTCTGTAAAACTAGGCCACAGAGATGCTTGATGTATGGAATTACTGTGGATACCCCTGGAAAACTGTCCTATATAGAATCTCTTCACAAGCACCCTCTAGGTTTTCCAGAGGGAATAGATGGGGAATACAATTATATTATTTAGAATGCTTTTGGATTAATTAATAGGAATTCTATATAAACTTGCTAAAACAATGAGATCATCTATTGTCTCATAAAACTGGAAGTTGGAGCAGATTTCTAAGCTCACTGAATACATGACTTAATGAGGTCATCAGAGTCATTGGTTTTATCTGTCTTTTATCTCTTTTGTCCTCAGGTTGGCTTTATGCTAAGACTGGTTGCCCTCAGGGTTACAAGGTGACTGCCAGTAGCAATCAGTTTTAGAGGCTTATTCCTGTTCTTACGTTCTTGACTGAAGAGCAAAGAAGAACTTTCCCAGAAGCCCTTAGCTGACTTCCTAATTCTTTTAATTCTCAGTAAATTCCATGTCTATTTTCCAACCAATCACTGATAGGTGTAAAGATAAATATTGTGATTGGTTTAGACTAAACGGAGCCCACTCAGTCTCTACTAAGTTATATAAGCTTCATAGAATGAACTGGATATTTGGGGAAAATGAATTCAGTTTCTAGTAGGGAAATGAAGGGGGCATATGGAATATAAATGGATAAGCAACAATTAAAATCCAATATTACAAGCTCTTTGGCTATCCGAGAACTTATTCCACATACATATTTTCATTCCACACATTCTACAATACATTTTAAAAAAATTCGTGCCCACTTGAAATATGTCTTAATTCCTTCCCAAAGGGAGAAAATCCAAAGTCAATTACTGCATTTATTCTGAAGTACAAGATCTCTGGGTAGTATTCAGTCCTCTGACATGGCTCCCAATGGTCCAGTGATTTATCTTCCTTAACTGTACACAAAGTGGTAAAAAGCATGATAATTACAATAAAAAACTCCCTTTTGTAAAGGTGGACAACGGGAAAATATGCAGTTGTCTATAATATACTTTACTTGTTGGACAGGGTTACAAAAACTTCCTGTTCTGTCAGTGAAGTGATTTTCATAGCTTATGAATCAGAGAGCTTTTATTCTCCTCTCTCAGAGTATAGCCATGTCTGTTGTCTCTGTGACCTTAGAGTGGACAGTGTAAAATTTCTTTTCTGGGTCTGCACCACTTTAGCAACGTACTTTCTGTAGGTGAAAATTCTTGGGACTAGTGTTTACTTTAGAAGGTTTAGCAATCATATACTCTAACCAGGCTTGGGGTCACTTTGGTATACATTTCTTTTAAAACTAGTTATACAGCCTACTTGTTTTCAATTAACTGCATGACTACTAATACACAATCAGCAATTATTTGGGCCTATGAATCTGGAAGTTTCTGGTTTATGATAACAAGCTCTGTGCTCTGTCTGTGCCATGAGACCTTAATGTAACACTTTCCTTTCCTCTTGGTCTCAGTTACCAGGTGATTTAACCAACTGCCTCTGGCACGAATATCGCTGCTTTAGACAGCCGTATCTTCACAATAATCAGACTGTGCCCTTCATCAGTCACACAATGCTTTACAGGAGGTGCTTGGAAGAGGTTTGGGGGGACAAGTGTTTTGTTCTAATCTTATTTTCTCTCAAATTCCCAAACGTTTAGAGTAACGTTCTTACAAGTCTTAGCTTTCCTAAATCATCCAGGCCCATGATTACTAAACTTCCAAATGTTTTGATTGTAATCATAAGTGAAGATGACCTCTCTTAGCAGAGACATATTTTTCTCGCTCAGATTTCATGAGTCACTTGCAGGCAAAAGTTTTCTCCATATTTTAAGGTGTTATGTAATGCCAAAGAAAAGATTCAACCTAGTTCAATCTCATAAATATTTCCTACTAGGATTCATGATGACTCAGCCATCATCAAAAGTTGATACATCACAATATACAATAGGCAATAGTTAAAAAGAACTTTTCTGTAGAGTAACTAGTATTTTCCGATTCCTGTGACAGAAAAATATTATCCTTATTGCCTTGTATCAATTTTACTCAATTCCATATTTTAGAATGTTATTTCCAGATTTCCATTTCTAACACAAATATTTTATTCATTTAGGATGCTGACTCAAGGAACTCTGATTCAAACAGCTTAACTATGATTGCTATGAATAAGCTGATACAGAAGAAGTCTAGGAGAAAGACAATCTTCAGAATTTATCAATTTAGGAGCTCATTAGTATTATAAAGGCTCAAGTTTTACTATCTCTCAGCTCTCCTGGCCACAGTATTGATGCCACCCTAAAATTGGTTCTGTACATACTTGTAGAATTACTGCCAAGAATGATCATGATTACCTGCATTTTCCTTCACATCAGTATAGAAGAAGAAATGTTTCTGGAAATCACTGCTAATTACACAGAACTGATTTTTCCAAAAGCAAATTTCTTTATGATTCTCTGTGATCTGAATTTCACTGCATTTCTATTCCTGAAAAAAAAAAAGATCACTGACAAGTAGAATGACAGCTTAACCAGAATGTTTGATGAATGGCACATTATTGGTTTCCAATGTGTCATCCACAGCCTATGGATATCCAAGCTGTCTGTGGGAAGGTTGATACCTAATCAAAATCAGAGTTGTAAGTAAAAGGAAGCAGTGCTATGGCTTAAGCAAACAACCATATCTACTGTAAGGACACTAGGAAATTACTGGATTTTTTGATTAAAAAATGTATTAAGGCTTAGGACATGAAGACTGATAGAACTGATGGAAATATAAGAGCAGTACTACCCCATAGGTAAGTACAGTAATCATAGGGACTCCATATATAGTTTTTCATGATTACAAGACATTCAGGAAATTCAACTAACTTTAGATGTATTTTCTTTGGAGAACTATGTTGTATTTCTTCCTGCATTGTTTTACTATATTATTAACAGATATTGTTCCCAAGAACACACATTAATAGCTCTACTACATACAAATCTCATCTTCTTTGAGTCTGTTTCCAAGGGAATTCTATCTGCTACAGAATCTGATTGGGTCAATTAGATATTATCTCATTATCCAATACATGGTGTTTCTAATAGGATAAGTTTCTGATGATGAATAAACTCCTGGTCTTCCTTATGCCTGTCTGTACATGGTGGATTTTACCAAGGTGCGAAAAAGAAAAAAAAATTGATATTAAGAATAAAAACATACCTTTTACAAAATATATAAATAAGTGTATTAGAGTAGGTCTTAAAAAGAATACCAGTCCACAGTATTACTAGAGAGAGGATAAAATAACATAACAGTTAATACATTGCTGAGATTGTAAGAAGATAAGGCAGGCAATTAAGTTCTCCCACCAAAGAAATAAAACACAAAACAATAAAAATAACAAAAGATGACTTGTAATCAGGGAAGTGATTTTAGTCAAAGAAATCTGAGACTGTCTTAGAGGCAAATTCAATATCAGTTTAGGAAAAACTGACTAAATCATGGACTTGTGCTAAGTTGGGGATAAATCTTACACCTGTATATTAAGTGCAGAGTCTCACTGGGGGCTAAAACAGGAGGGTACAAAAATGTGCCTATCACTAATGGAAGGCTGTAAGAAATCATATTTTTATGCTGTGGCTGGGGGTTAATAATAATATACCCTGCATGTTTGCAATTACAGATCTCACTTGGGTCTGAAGTTCAAATTAAAAGTAGATCTCTAATCATAAAAATCATATATCGATAAATTGAAGCTAAGCTCAAGATAGTTTCCCAGGTTAATAGTGTTCCTTGGAACCCAGAAGAAGCACATTTAAACCTATCTTAGAGGAAATTATTCTCTACTTAAGCCCTCAGAATTTCAACAAACTAAATTGAAAAAAAAATGACCTCAATATCAAATATGAACTGTAGATGAAATGAAGTCAAACATAAATAAAAGTCAGCTAAAAAAAAGAACTGATATACATACCATGTCTTTCAATAAATCCAGTGATTTTTGAAAAATCAGTTCTAAATGTAAAGAAATTATATAAAATTATTTTATAAAATAAAGACAAAATCAAGAAAAAGTCTATATCTATTTGCAAAATATCCAATGCAGTTCTTAAGAAAGAAAAATGTTAAAATTAAAATTACAATAAATACATTAAACATAAGATTTAATTTAGCTAAATAGACGATTATTATTATTTATTTATGACATACCCAATTTAACAGGACATAGAAAGTCTGAAGTATAAGTGACAGAAAGAATCTAAGGGGAGAATACTGATCAAAAAGAAATGGATTTAGTTATAATAATATCAGAAAAAGAAGTCAAAAATACTATCAGTGATTAAAAGATATTTACTATGATCAAATGTATGAATCATTAAGAAGACCTAGTAACTCCAGCTTCTCAAGTTTCTATAAATATAGCAACTCAGTCTTCACAAGGGAAAATTGAAAATCCACAAACTGGGAAATGTTCTCACACTTCTTTCACTTAATGCTATGTCAAAAAATATTTATAGATATAGATAGGTAGATGACAGATAGATGGATGAATGGATGTGTGTGTGTGTGTGCACATGCACATGCATATGTGTATCTTATACGAGTCTTGAATCAGCAACTGAATTATTGAATCTGACACTGACCTGGGGTAACATTCAGACACTTCAAAAACATCTAGATAAGTGGTCTGAGGTATCAATAACATCTATTAAACAGAAATGATACCCTCTCAAGTTGTTAGCATGAGAGATATGGATGTCAGGTGATAAACTGAGTTCTGACCCAAGCCCAACTCACAGTGTGCTCACCAGTTCATAATGAAATTTGTGGATATTTGTCCCGTTCCTGATATATAAGTGGAAAAAACACAGTTAGTGATAGAACACCCCTTGTCTTGCTTTTCAAATTTGTGTAGGAAAGCCAAATGAAACTGAACTGAACTCGTCTCCCATTCCAACAAGCTTGAAATCAACAGCAATACTGCATTTCTGGAATTATTGAAGAGATGTGTATTACTGTCAGAGATATGAAAAATGTAGTAGTCGTGATTCCTAGATATCCCCATTTAATTTGCTTACATGGCTTTAGCACAACAGTGATGGATCGTGGCACATAAACATGGACTCCTGTATATTTAACAGGTGGCAGCCTGATTTTGAATTGAAACTGCTATGTCTACATATGATACCCTGACTAAAAAAGCTTATCATAGACATTACCATTGGAGATTTAGGTGTGCATCTGTTGGTTTGGAAAATAATAAATAAGTAAATTTTCAATCTCCATTAAGTGTGTGTGTGTCTATGTGTGTGTGTTTATATGGTAAGGACCAAGGACGATAGTTCCATCTTCACGGTTTTATATAAGTATTATATCAACTCTCTTGCTTTCTACATAATACTGTATATAGGGCATTTATGATCTCAATAATCCATAGAAGATACCAGTAATTTGCTATATTGACTACATCAGAGTGCTCATTTAACCCCTTTGGGCCCCCACGGGAGTGGAGGAAGACTGGACAGAGAGGGAGAAGGGGCCATTGAAGGTACAGTATTTACTATGGGATTTAACTCCTCAAAGGCCTCCCAGTAGCTTCAGATCTGCTCAAGAATCCTTCATGTCCTCCTGGTTTGCAGTGAGTGGCTCACAGCTTCAAGGCCTCCTCTGCCAGATGGAGAACTATTTCAAACATCCTTCCTCTATTTTGTACTGTAGCAATGCAGACAGGAAACCTGACCCCATTTTCAGGTTCTAAAGAGAAATTCTAAGTACCTGAAAGACTGAGGAACATGGTGGCTTTTATTTAAGCTGTGGAGACAGAGAGCACATACCTGGACTTGGGCCTACAGCAGCACCAAATTGCACCAAGAGTTCCCTTTATTTTCTCTCGCATCTCTGTTCCTCCTTTTCTCTCTGCTGGATTAGCCACGGGGGCTCCAAGTTCTTCATTGTGTGGTCCTGGTACCAAGATTCTCCTGGGAATTATAGAGATATTCACCTTCTACATCGAGCACTTCTTATTTTTTCCCCAGCAACATAAGTCATCCTTAAGAGGGGTCAGGGTGCTAGCTCTTAAATATATTTTAGTCATTCCTTTGTACATTAAATTCTCTTTCTTGGAGACTGCTCCTGACATGGTGTTCACCGTGCTCTCAGCCGGCCTCCTGAAGTTCTGCCCTGCCTTCCCCACCAGGTACAGTTCAGGAGCTGCCTACCTCAGGGTGATAGGTTATCTTCTAGTTGCTTTATTCTTTTCCGTTTTACATTTAGAGAGTATAATTGGAATACATAAACTTCTCTGTGACCACAGCTTTATTTGCAACCCACAGGTTTTGTTATGGCATATTTTCATTATCATTCAATTAATAAAATTCTAATTCCCATTGCGGCTTTATCTTTGACCTAAATAATGATCAGAAGTATCCAACTATTTGGTAAAATATTGGTTATATAGGTTTAAATTTCTTGCTTATTCAGTGCCTTGTTTTATAACCAGAATATAGTCAATTTTATAAATGTGCCATGTGCACCTAAAAATTTCTGCATAATATATATATTCCATCATCGTTGGTGCAGTGTTTTATGTAAATTTAGGCCAAAGTTTTTAATGATGGTACTCAGATCTTCTATAATCTGCTGATTTGTTGTTGTGGTTCTATGTTCCTGATCTAGGTAATTTAGATTTTTCTATTTCTACTTAGATTTTTGGAATTTCCCTTCATATATTGCATTGAAGTTTAGACTTATAATATATTCCTTGTAAAGTAACAGTGGGTTTTATTATCCTGCCTTATCGCCAGTGATACTTTTTGCTTTCAAATCTATGTTAACATTAAAAAATCTTCTTCAATTTTACTTATTGTTGTTATGACATAATTTTTGAATCCTTTCATTTTCAATCTGACTCTTGTCTCTCGTAGGTGGCACAGAATTAGGTTTTTGGTTTGTTTCAATAATCCTTGTCCTTTAATTTCAGTATTTACAGTTAATGTATTTTCTTATAGACCGTTTACTCCTTGTTTACTATTTGTCCCACCTTGTTACGTTCCTTTTGCTCTTCTTTCTTCCTTTGAGATTTCTTCAAATTCCATTTTCCCTTGTATTAGCTTATTTTTACATAAGTAGCAGTTACACAGGTACCATGACTTATTAGCTCTTTTACTGCTTCTCAAGCAATGCTGAGATCTTAAATTTCTTTTACTTCTTTTTCCTCTTCCATTTGTTTTAATGCATTCTAATTTTTGATATATTTTATTATTACTCTTGTGTGCTGTTAGATTTTACTTAGGTTTATCCACTTATTTATCCTTTCTGTTATACATAATTCTTTATAAAGTCCTTATTTTCATCTGTGATAATCTTCCTTCTGCCTGCAGGTCTCCCTTTAGAATTTAATTCAGTCAGTTCTGATGAGAACATATTTTCTAAATTTTGTTTGTCTGCAAATTTCCTTATTTCATCTTT